ACGTGGAATATATTATTAACAACAACTGAGGTCTCTCAAAAAAATGAAGATTAGAATTTAAAAAACGGAAATTGTATATTTTTGTACACGGATTATTTACGTAATACCTACATTACTATCACAAAATTTTACAAAGGTATGGACGCGTGGACCACGTTTGAGTGGTTGAGTGGTAAATATTTTCTTGCCGAAAATATCAGAAACGAACAAATATACAATATACAATCGAATAATATTAATATTAATAACGTAAATATGAGTTTATCAGTTGCGTATTATGCTGCATTACCATGGGGTTTGAACACGTTCTCTATAGGGACTTTCCATAACGTGATTGTAAACAATTTAGAAAAAGTCATGAATGCTTACGTTTACATATACGCGCTTATCATACATTTGTACTTAAAACGTAAAGGTACGAGCATCGGTTCTCATGTTTTACAAAAAATACGAAATAGTGTTCTGTGGTATAACGAAGGGACGAAATTATTTTACAAATATCTCCATTTACCTTTATTCACCGATAAAGACCCTCAAAATGAACCTCTATTAGATGATAATATAAAGACTATAATTTATAGAATACAAAATATTGACGACAGCAATTCTATAAATATCAACGACGTCATTCCTGATTTCGAAAAAAACTATTTTTTGGTATGGGCCGATACTAATATCTCCAACAACAATCTTGGAAACAAACGATTTAACACGTTTATGAATGGGAATTGTATGGACGCTATGGATTACATGAGTACTTATTTGTCGATCGTTCAAAAGTCTATGGACATAAATTTCGAATTCCAGTCTGCTACCTCTATGTACTCACAGTACTGCCCGGAAAATATATTTGATGTTGAATCCGCCAAAAAGCCTATGACAGTAGTTAGAGACAAAAAAGGAAATACAAAAGCCTATGAGAAGACTAAGAGCGTAGATGGAGACAAGCAAATAAATAATGAGGACGATGAGAAGACTATGAGCGAAGATAAAGACGAGCAAATAAGTACAAAGACCGGTTCCGAAAGTGTAGTCATTGGTTCCAGTCCCCCTGAAAATAAATCAACGTTGAGAAATCTTTTGATGGGTTTCCTTAAACTTATATAGAAAAATTTGTGTGAATCTAGTGTTGAATTTTTATTATGAATTTAACAAATGTATATTTATTATATTTTTGATAAAAATTATTCATATTTAATTTGTCATCTTATTAAATTTTTTTTTTGAGTTCAACCATATCATCCTTAAATATAATTTCAATTTCATAAATTTAATGAGCGATAAAAATATATATTTTTTGCAAAGTAAATGTATAATGCTACGGTTATTTGTAAACGACTACAAAATGTAATGCACTTTTTTTGTTTATTAATTGATGATCTAGGATTAAGAAATATAGTATTAAGAAATTTATTTTTAATTATATATGTTTAATTCTAGTTTTGAGTTTTATTATTTATCAAATAAATTGCATTTTATTCACAATACCAATAATTATTTTATTCTATCCTACAAACGTAGTAACACGTGTTTTACTATAGTCTTACGATCATTGTTTTTGTATGTTTGTAAAATGGAGTCGGCAATTTTTTTTAATTTGATTTTTTTGATGTATTTTATCATTCGATTTTTATATTTAAATCACACTTATCTACTTGGAATATGTATTAAAATGATTTAATGAAAATGTAATTGCAGGTGTGTTCACGTATTACAAAGTTTATTGCAAAATAAATATAAATGTCAATTAAAAAACTGTTTTCGATGTCTTTAATTCTTGTCTATTTAAAAAAAAATGAGGTTAACGACGATTCTATAATGTACAGCACGTATTTGACGTTTTGCGGAGACTTCAAGGGATACACTGATGTCCGTTGCACCAGTGCATTTCACGGTACTGCAGCTGTTAAAGATCTCGAAACCGAGAAGTATAATTTTATACGGGAGACGGTGAAAAACATTTGGACGTGGAATATATTGTTAACAACCACTGAGGTTCCGAAAAAAAACGAAGACAATTATTCTAAATACGAAAACTGTACGGATACGAACATTTTAATAAGGTTATAAATAGTAATTGCATGGACGCTATGAACTACATGAGTACTCTTTTTCAATCGCAAAGGAGTCTATGGACATAAATTTGGAATTCCATTCTACTACAGTTATGTTCTCACAGTATTGTCCGCAAAATATACTTTGGGTACCTGAAAGCGTATTTAAATTAGAAATATCAGAAAAGTGAGTGTTAACGTAATGTTTTATGATATGCGATAAATATTAATACGTGATACTACATGTTTCGATAAATATTATTGATTATTTCGGCTTTTAGAAAAAAAAAAAAAAACTTCTTGCTAACATAGTCATAGTATTTAAAATATTTGTACATTTTTTTATATATAAAATAATAATAGAAGTAATAAATTGAGAAAAAACAATTGACAATTATCATGGGTACTGATTTATGTCCCATTTGGTTTTAAAATAAACTTGTTTAATGCGAATTTAATTTAATTTACTAATCGATGATTTCGACATTGTGTTTAAATTTAGCAAATCGATCGATCAATTTAGGGTTATTTAATGGAATATTATTATTCAGAAGCGCCAAGCCAATTACACGCGCTTCTCACATTATAACATTATTACTAAGCAAAAACTGAACTACGTACAAAAGTCTAAAAAATCATAAGTATAAAATGTTAAAATATTAATTTAACACATTATACTCGTTATTTAGGAAAGTATAAACTTTATTTAAAATTTTTTTGGAAAATGATTTTAAAATTATAAGAAATGTGTTAGGATGTTATTATCGTAAATCAAAATTCAATTCAATAACAAACTATCCATTTACATTTCCGGTATTAAAAATAAACTTTTTCATTGAAAAGTAAAAAAATGATACACATTTAGGGTAGATCCAGGGACTAAAAGTGTTATACCACTAAAATATTCAAGATTTTAAATAATTTTTCAACGTTTGTTTTTTATCACATTATTACCAAATTACTTCTAAAATTATTTTATATTTAAATATATATACAAATATTGTAAATAGTATAACTGTGTTGACAATTATTTTTAAATTTAATATGATTTTCCTGTTTTTAGATTCTGAGCGTAGTGATTTAATACAATTATGCCTAAAGTCTGTTCGCCTTATAATAAACGGTAAATTTTCGAATTAGTAAATTTCAGAACTAAGTATTAAATTCTGTACGAGAAAATACTCTCGCCTTGGTAATCGGAGAAAACCCAAAAGTCAGGGGGAATGTTTAGTTTCGGGGAGCTTTTTTTTAAGGATTTATGAAACGGACGCTCAACAGATAATTACTAAATAATGCACCGTAGTTATACGCCAGTTTATTCAGTTGCGATACAAGTTACACCCACATAAAACAAAATATTATTTAATTCGATCGTTTTATTTTCTACGAGATGCGTATACTACAGTTGACAACCGCCGATCGTGAATTTACCGTCGCCGGTCACAAACTAATCTTATAATATCCGTGCTTATCGCTTCCTATTCCCTATTCATAAATTCATATTCCGCGGTCATTATTTCGGAACTTAATTACGGTTTATTTGTTTTTTCAACGATAAAAATATGAATGTATCCGTACATAAAAGAATATTATACGTTCGTATAAATAAAAATCCGCCGTTAAATACTATCGTATAATGATTTAATGGCAGAGAACTGAGTATTATTGAAACAGGTTATGTCAGGGGACTGTAGTTATAGCTGCTGTTTTTTTTTTTTATATACACGATATTCAGACAATTGGAACTATACGTGTATCGTGGTTTGGGGGTTCAGATATTTAGTTTCTTAAATTAAATATTGCCTACTAAATGTAATTTGTACATTACATAGAATATTTCGTTAGAAAGAGCTTCAGTAGAAAGAGATTTCACACTCTATAAATTCACGATGTGTACACGAGAGATCTACAAGCCAATTTTTTCAAATCTTTGCTATTAGTTTGCAATAATCTGATTTGACAATGTAAAATATTTATATATTTGTACAAGAAATTTTAAGAAAAATCAGATTCTTCTAAACTGTGCTGATAGAAAGGAATAATAATCGGTCTAAACCGTTATGTTGTGTATTGGTTTTTCCCATAGTTTCTTGCAGTTTTTTGACGTTATTAGAAAAAGTATTCAATCTATTCAGAATAAAAGACGAAGTATTTCTAATCAATGAGCAATTTACCGAAACTAAACATACAAAAACAACTATCGTAATAGTATAAAAAAACATTTATTACTACGTTAATTATCTAGAAAAGAATTAACCAAATATTGGTGTTACGAATATAAATAGTTTAATTGGATGAATAATAAAAACCTAGTTTAAAAAGTAAATATAAATCATTAAAAGTATAAACCGTTTATGTCTAATTACTGCATAATTAATTAATAATAATAATAATAAAAAAACAATGTTAATATTTTGTAGTCTATTACAAATATGCGTATGATACTAATACATTGCTAAATTTAAAAATAATTTTACACATTTATATTTACGTCGTTCATTAGATTTTTAAAAGTTTAACTATTACAGTTTAGGACAATATGGATGCATTTAGAAATCAGTTTTAAAATATATTTAAAATGTTAATCAATTATATGAAAATACGCAGTGAATACAAATTGATTCTATAGCTAAATAAATATTAAATTCTTAAAAAAGAAAAAAAGTACTAAATTTATTTACTCTTATAGGTTTTTCGACCGATTTAACATTAAATATATTTTCCGGGCAGTAATCGGTGTACGTAATTGAAGGAGGATAGAATTCGGATTTTATGTCCAAAGACTTCACTGCGATCGAAAGGAAAGTATTCATGTAGTCCATAGCGTCCATGCAATTCATATTTATAACCGTGTTGAATTGATAGTACTCGTCATCTTTATCGGGAAGTTCGGTTTCGGACCACTTCAAAAAATCGTCTTTTGCGTCCATAGGAATGATGTCGTAAACATTTATTTTACCATTATCANTCTGTGGGTCTTTATCAGTGTACAAAGGTAAATTAAGATATTTGTAAAATATTTCTGTCCCGCCCGTATACCACCGAACACTATCTCGTATGCTTTGTAAAACGTGAGAATTGACACTGCTACTTGTGCGCTTTAAGTACAAATCTATAATTAGAGCGTATCTGTAAACATACGTATTCATTGTTCTGTTTAGATGCTGTAATATCATATTATGAAGTAGGCCTACAGGGAATGTGTTTATACTCCACGGTAATAGCGCATAATACGCCACTGATAAACTCATATTTACGTTTTTAATATTTATATTTTTCAATTTTAACTCATTCATATCTACGTTTTCGAAATTTTCGGTAAGAAAATATTTACCGCTCAACCACTGAAAAGTGGTCCATACGCCAATTTCTTTGTCATATTGTTTGATGCTATCATAGAGTGTCGATGGGTATTTTATGTAATAATATATACAATCTTCATTTATTAAATCCATATCGTATCTTATTTCCGGGACCTTAGTAGTTGTTATAAATATATTATACGTCCAAAGGTTTTTCAACGACTCCCACATACAATTTTTCCACTCGGTCTCGAAATTCTTAGCAGCTGGAATCTTGTGAAACGCACTGATGCAACGGACTTCGATGTATTCCTTAAAATCGAAGCAGAACGTAAAATACAAATTGAACATGTTCGAGTCGTCTTGAAACTTATTTTCCTTAAAAAAGACAAGAATGTAAGAGATTTTTTCACATAAATCGAGTATCATGTTTGTAATTTTTTTTGTGTCCACCAAGTCTTTTTCAGTTGTGTCAGAATGTTTCCTTTTCCTGCTTAATATAATATTTGTAAAATGTTGTTGGAGTCTATTTAATGTATAAATAAATAATTCGTCCATTGTTTCGACTTTGCTTAAATCGTATGATCGAATTTCATATTTTAATAAACCGCAATATTTCTTAAGATTAAATGAATAATTAACATTGGCGAGCACTAAAGCTCTATAGTTTTCAAGTAATTGTTTATTTTTATTGTCTCTGATCTTAGCCTTTCTTAATTTTTTATCGTAAAGTATATCTTGTACCTTATAATTGTACTTTAGTTTATCGAGGTTTTTACTCATACATGATATCAAATCGATATTGCCAATAATCTTGTAAACTTTTAAAAGAAAATTCTTACTGTCTCTCTCGTAGTTTGGAATCTCTGACAAGTTGTTAAAAATTTTTGTTTTATTTTCTATCATCGATATTATATATGTCAAGTTTTTGTCAATGTCATTATTAAAACGTACTTTTCCTGTATCATCACGTGATGTATTAATATTTTTTATATAATACGTTGGTAATGTGTGACACAGTACTATATGAAATTCGTTCAACATAACTGTTATGGAATTCCGAAAGACATTAATATTGACATAGTCCAAACATCTCGGGAGCAATAAACAAACCGTTAAAAAGTATTCTTTGTGAATGAATCCAGTTTCGTTTCTTTTATTAAGCATGTAGGCCATCTGCTGTAATATTAGAAGTAAATCTATTTGAAAAGTGATAAATTCTGTAGAAACGTTTCCAAATTCATTTCCTTGATCCTGAGTAATATATTCTGCGCCTTTTTTTAGATCATAGTTCATATTAAAATCGTTTACTATTTTATTTAACTTACTTCTATTCGAACGACATCCGAAAATTGCTGTAACCTTATTTGGAATATCTGGATTAATAACATGCACTACTAACAAATAATACAACAATTTTAAAACATTAAATTTCATTGTACACTTATGTTGTAGGATTAGATAAATTGCGTACCTACTCTGAATAAAAACGTTTATTACTCGTATATTTGTGTATCCGTATCTGTATTTATGATACTAGAATTATCGAATACAATTTATTTTTGAACACTTAATTATTTATATAGTATTGATATAAGAGCTCCAATAATTTATAATGTTAAAATATTTAGGTACCTCTTCTGAAAGAAATTTTTGCAATACGTATATAGATGTAATCGTAGCAGTTAGTATGATACTAGCATAATAATCTCTAACTAACTTATTATGATTTATGAGCATTAAAATCAGGCTGTGTCGAGTGATAAATAAATAATTTGTCTACGTTCCCGATATTCTTTATGTTATAATACAGTATAATGCGTATGTTAATATTATGTATTTAACCAAGTGTTCAACAAAAGTTATGTTCGATGTTAATAGTATCATACCAATTGAAACGTGTACACGTATAAACAAGTTACAAAATATTCTATTCCGAATAGTTACACATTTTATCTAGTCATACTACACAAGCTTACAATGAACTTTAATGCTTCAATTCTCTTGTGTTATTTTGTTGTAGTTTATGATATTGTTTCACACATTCTATAGAAAGTTTCATCAATGTTCAGATTTCCTAATTACAGGGTTCAGTTCATTTTAAATGTGAACTAATTTCAAAAACCTTATAATCTTAATTAAACAGCAGAAACTATTCTTCGAAATATTGATGATATCTTTTTGGATATACCTAAAGAATATATCTCATATGAAATCGAGTTACTTTTAATATTGCAGCAAATTGCCTACTTGTTTACAAAAAGAAGTGAAACCGAACTCAAAGACATTATAGGAACTATTTGTACATTGCTCCCCAGATATTTGGATTTTACCTATATTGGTGTCTTTTTAAATTCAATAACAATTATGTTTTGCGAAATTCATATCATTCATTGTCACATATTACTAATGTATTATATGAAATTTATCAATGTGAAAAATGTTAAAATCTCTACAATCGATGACAGAAAATAAAACAAAAATTTGTTCTAAATTATTCGAGGAGGAGCAGTTTTCGAAATATAGAAGTGTAATTTTGATTTCAGAAGCATATATCATTCTGAGTTATGATTATGCGATACCATAAATGGATATTATAAAGATATTATTAAAATGTTTCGCAAATTAACAACATAACGTTTATGGTGCCTGAAATAAGTACTATGGTCGTATGGACCACGTTCGAGTGGTTGAGCGGTAAATATTTTCTTACCGAAAATTTTGAAAACGTAGATATGAACGAGTTAAAATCCAAAAATATAACTTTCCGAGATGTAACTATGAGTTTATCAGTGTCATATTATGCTATAGTTTCGTGGGGTTAAAATACGTTCAGCGGCATTGTATTCTATAAGATGATTGTATACCGTCTAGACAGAACTATGAACACGCACGTTTACCGATACGCGCAAATCATATTTATGTATTTGAAGCGCACAGATAGTAGCGTCGGTTTTCAAATTTTACAAAACATGCGAGATAGAGTTCGGCGGTATTTAGACGGGACAGAACTATTTTACAAAAATCTTGATTTACTTTATACATCAATAGAGACGCACAGAATGAACCCCCGCTAACTTATCGCATAGACCCTCTCATTTCTATAATAAAAAAAAATAGACAACAGCGTTAGTATAAATGTCGACGAATTAATTCCCTCGGATGAACAAAAATACTTTTCGCAGTGGTCTGAGTCAAAACTTCCCGAAATCGATGACGGATACATTTGATGATACAGATACAGATGACAATTCAATAAGGTTATAAATACGAATTCCATGGACGCTATGAACTACATGAGTACTTTTTTTTTTATTCGCAAATAAGTCTATGGACATAAATTTGGAATTCCATTCTGCTACAACTATGTACTCACTGTACTGCCCGCAAAATACATTTTGTGTATCTGATAGCGCATTTGAATTAGATATAACAAAATCATGAGTGTCAGCGTATTGTTTTATGACATGCGATGAGCATTAATTTGTACATAATTCGATTATATTATTAATTTTTAAAATGCCATTATAACGTCGTGTTAATCAAGTGCATCTATACCTTCCTGTTTGCAACTAAATTCTTTAAATTTAATCAACAATCTGAGTATAAAAATCTGAATATATATTTTTATTTTTTAATAGGCAAAGTCAAAATATTATACTATGGACAGTTGTAAACTACTAAAACACATTATGATTTTTTATTTATTTACTATATTAATAGTTTTAAAAAATAATAGGTTTATACCTTTAATTATATAAATTTGAATTTAGTTTTAGGTCTTTTTTTTTCCTTTCTTGTTTATGAGAATAAAACACATTATCTTTAAAAAAAAAATGTGTATTAAATTATTATCGTAAAGCTAAACTATCTCATTTTGAAACAATATAATATTCATTAGTTATTTTCTTAAAAATATTGTAAGAGTTTAATTATTTAATACTATAATCAAAATTTTTAATTAATATTCACAATTTATTGATATTATTATTTTTTCCAACTGATTAAATATATTAAATAATATTATATTATTCTTTGATATTATGTACAAGTTAATAGCAAATTAATTTTATAAGTCTATGAGTATTAATTAATAAAATAATAAGGTAAATACAAAATTATTGAAATTGTTGATACTCGAGAATAAATAAATAATACAAAATAAATAAACGAAAGAATGGGTAGCCTAGAATATTATTATAAGTGTATTATAAGATTAGTTTTGAATTGAAAATTTATAATCAGGTATATCACAGTCAAAATGAAAAACGCGACTGATTATAACTCCGATTAATTTAATTTAACTCTAATTTAGCTTTACAGTTTACAAATTGTATTTTATCTTGTTTTATGTAGGAATATTTGTCTGCGTGTTAATATACGTGAAAATCGGGACAGGTCTGTTTGAGTCCAATAGAAGAATGTGTCAATTAACCGTACGTCAATTTAGCGGCGAACACAGTTTTATTATAATATATAGGTGCGTAAAGACTTTTACGCGTCGAGTGATCATTAAATATATTTTACAGCAAAAAGCCTAAGCGCTCTTAAATCAATATATTATATATAATCAAGTGTTTAAAAAAGTATTGTTCTATATTACTAACATACTAAAAGTGACAGGTACACGTATATACGAGTACAAATGTTTCTATTCAGAATAGGGTCATATTTTATTTAGTCCTAAAACACCGGTGCACAATGAACTTTTATGCTTTAAAACTGTTGTTCTATACGTTTGTAGTGCATGCTATCGTTCCAGACAATCCAAATAAAATTAAAACGATGGTCCGATTGCCTAAAAATAACAGTGAGTTTAATTTAATAGTAGAGACATTTCAAAAGCCTAATAATCTTATAACAGTAGCAAAAACTATTGTTCAAGGTGAATTCGATATTTTCCGGAATTTACCTACACAATTTATCACTTTTGAATTAGAGTTAGTATTAATATTCCGGCAAATGGCCTACGCTTTTGAAAAAAGAAATGAAACTGAACTCAAGGATTTTATAGGAACGGTTTGTACAATGCTCCCGAGATGTTTGGATTTTACCTACATTGGTGTCTTATTAAATTCAATAACAATTATGTTGAGCGAAATTCATATCATTCTTTGTCACGAATTACCAACGTATTATAAAGAATATGAGAATGCGACTGCGGATATAGAAAAAAAACTTATCAATGAAAAAATAGACAGAATATTAATATCTATACAATCAATGATTGAGAAAAAAACAAATATTGGTACAAACTTATTCGAGGAAGTGCAAAATTACGAGGATAAAAGTATGGGTTTTATTTCAGTAGCTTACGTGATCTTGGGTTATAATAATATAATACCATATATGAATTTAATTCACGGCTTAGAGGAGAAAGATATGTTTGAAAGTTATTCGCAAACTAACAAAATGCAATTTAAGGTGTCTGAAATTAGGACCGGAGACAATGAAATTCAACGAAATTCTGAAAAACCAATACATTTTCAGGAAATCAACAATGATTATGCAAAAAAACTTCAAAAAGAAGAATGCGGTTTAATACAATTTGTTGACGATTTTTCGACAGCCGAAGCTATGGAAAAATTACTGTTATTTACACTTAGTAGACTCCAACAGTATTGTACACATTCTATGCTAAACGATATTAAAGATGTTAAAGATGATAAAGAAGAATACGATAATATGGATGATAACGATGATAACGATGATATAGATGATAGCGGTCATATAGAGGAACTTCAATCAGAAACCGAAAATAAACAAAAGACAAACTATATTATAGACATGTTAAAGGGTATGTGTCAGAATATCCCTTTAATTCTCATGTATTTAAAAGAAATAACTTTAAATAACGTTAATAAGTTTAACGACGACTCGATAATGTTTAGCATGTATTTAACGTTCTGCAGCGACTTCAAGGGATACACTGATATCCGTTGTGCTAATCCATTTCCCAACACCGAAGTTAAGAAGAAGGTTTTTGAGGCCAAGTTGAATGATTGTGTAAGCGAGTCGGTGAAAAACATTTGGAGTTGGAATTTATTTAAATCAACACATCAGGTACCGAAAATGACAAATGAACATTTTGTAAATAATGAACTCTGTACAAAGTTGTACTTAAATTATTTAACGGATATCTATGATACCATCAAACAATTTTACACAGGAAAAACCATGGGCGTATGGACCACGTTCGAGTGGTTGAGCGGTAAATATTTTCTTACCGAAAATTCTGAAAACGTAGATATGAACGAGTTAAAATCAAAAGATATAACAATCAGAGACGTAACCATGAGTTTATCAGTGGCGTATCATGCCATTTTACCGTGGGGATTGAATACGTTCAGCGTCATGGAATTTCACAAGACGATTGTATACCATCTAGACAGAACGATGAAAACGTACGTTTATCGATACGCGCAAATCATATTTATGTACTTGAATCGCACTAGTAGTAGCGACAGTTTTCAAGTTTTACAAAACATACGAGATAGTGTTCGATGGTATATAGACGGGACTGAATTATTTTACAAATATCTCGATTTACCTTTATACACCGATACAGACGCACAGAATGAACCTCAACCCACTAATCGCATTGACTCTCTCATTTCTATGATAAAAAATATATACAACAACGGTAGTATAAATGTCGACGAATATATTCCCCCGGATGAAAAAAAAGACTTTTCGCAGTGGTCCGAGACAAAGCTTCCTGAAATCGATGACGGATACGAACAATTCAATATGGTTATAAATAGTAATTGCATGGACGCTATGAACTACATGAGTGCTTTTTTTTCAATCGCAAAGAAGTCTATGGACATAAATTTTGAATTCCATTCTGCTGCAACTATGTACTCACAGTACTGTCCACAAAATATATTTTGTGTATCTGAAAGCGTATTTAAATTAGAAATAACAGAATAAAGAGTGTTAACGTAATGTTTTTTATTTTTAAGAAAAAATTATTTTTCATGCGATGAGCATTAATTTATAATCACTATGTATTTCGATCCATATTATTAATATTTATAATGTCATTTTAACGTAGTTGTAAATTAAATTCATCCATAACTTCCTTTATTGTAATTACAATTTTATCATTCTAACCAACGATCTAAGTATTAATATCTAAATATATAGATATAATTATTTATACTTTAACAGGTAATCTCAGGTAATATTATACTACGGACAATTGTATACGTCTAAAAATGTTATGATGGTTTTTGTTTTCTTTGCTGGTTATAAAGTTATAAAAAAATTGTGGTTTACCCCTTTAATTTTATAAATTTACATTTAATATTTCGTCTTGATTTCTTTGTCCATACTTGTTTAATTATATTACAGTTATCACAAGAACGACTATGTTTGATAATAGGATAAAATAATGCGAATAAAATTTATTAATTTTAAAGACAAATTTGTGTTAAATTATTATCGTATAACTATACAGTATTTCCTTTTGAAACAATATAATATCCATTAATTATTTTCTCGAAAATATTGTAAGAGTACTATTAATTCAATATTATAATCAAAATTTTAAATTAATATTCACAATTTATTATTATTATTTTTACTAACTGATTAAATATATTAAATAATGTTGTATAAAAATGAATTGCAAATTAATTATATTACCCTATGAGCATTAAATAATAAAATAATAATGNAATTATACAATATAAATTGGTCATTTTACATAAAAATAATTTTTTTAACACGAGATATTATTTAAAATTGGTTATATCTTATTATCTAAAATTTACTGATAGTTATTATTTTTAAAATCGGTTTGTTCATTTAAAATATTATTAAAATTATTTTGCATTCTTTCATTGTATTTGTATATGTAATTCTTCTAAAAATGATAAAAATTTAAATTAATTATTGGGTATTTAATATCTCCAAGTCCGTATTGATATCATAGCATATATTATGGTTATTTCCTAAAACATGTTTAGCGAAATTTAATTCGAGGCAGACTTTTTTAGTTTTATTTCAGAAATTTGTTCATTAAATCTTATTTTAAATTTAAAATTCCTATTTGCAAAACCTATATAAAATAATTAAACTTACATTTAAGTTTATATATACCAGAATTTTCAAAAGAAGGGGGATTTTTTGTGGAGTGTTTCGTTCTATTTTTTATATATGTTTTATTAAATTATTGTTAGTCATAAAAGCGATGTTTATATTATTTGTAATATTGTTTGGAATTTTAGAGAATTTTTTAGACATATTATTTTGATATGTCACACTAAAAATAGTTAACAATATTAATTGGTGAGTTGTTTTTCATTTTTCCTTTATACGTTTATGCATTTTTTTAATAGTATTAAAATTAAAACTAAATTTTCTATGGGCTATATTATAGATAACTATAAGTTCATATTGATTTCTTGTACTTTGTTTGTATTAAATTTATTAAAATGTAAAAATTTATTTTTAAAAAAAAATTACTGTTTCGTGTTTAGGAATGGACGGATATACATTTTTGTCGTCAAGATAAAACATTTTGTGAAGTGCCACAATATTTATTTTATTCATTTTATCAATAATATCAAACGTGTTTTTAATAGAAGTATCAGTATTTATGTTTGATTTTCTTTTTGTGAGAGTTACATTACATTTTAGGACGATATGGATGCATTTATAAATCAGTTTTAAAAGATATTAAAAATTTTAATCAATTATATGAAAATACGCAGTGAATATAAACTTATGTCCATAGCTAAATAAATATTAAATTCCTAAAAAAGAAGAAAAAGTACTAAATTTATTTACTCTTATAGGTTTTTCGACCGATTTAACATTAAATATATTTTCCGGGCAGTAATCGGTGTACGTAATTGAAG